ATTTCTCCTGTCATTCCTTTTAAGAACATAACATGAAGAAAATGTTACGTATTCGCGTATATGGCATTCTTGCCTTCTCTTTCCTTCAGTCCAAATATTTCTTCCTCTCTTTAAACATATTTTTATTTATTTTTGCATATATTAAGTTCCTTAATCATATTGTCCAGCTATTAATATCTGTGCACTCTCCATCCAGGCACCAACAGATTATGTAGTATCACTCTTTTGTTGTCTGTAACACCTCCAAATTCCTCCCTTCTATATCATGATGTGCGTTTGTTTTCAGTAAATAATTAGATCCTCATTAATCAAGACTAATGCCGAATATATGAATAATTCATACACCGTTATTTTATTTTCCATTATAAATTCTCCAGAAGAAATTCCTGTGGAGGAAAGGTGACTTTATTAATTATTTTATTCCTTGTAAATATTGATGTTGGTTCAAAATATCTTTAAAATATGTATTTCTGGCTATCCCCGTGTGATCCATTTCTCTCTATTTTTTTTGCCTCAGGGTTTTAATTGTTTTTATTTTACATATTATGTCCAATCTTTTGTTACGGCAACTATTGTAACTATTGTTGCAAAAAGTATATGCTGATTTCGATAAGGAAACTAAACTGATCTCCAAGTTTGCTGACAAGAGAAAAGTGCGTGGGACGGTGAACTGTGAGGAGAATGAAGAGACGCTTCAGTACGACTTGGACGCATTGGATGGATGGGAAAATGCAAGGCAGAATGACGCATAATGTGAAAAAGTGCTTATCGACTGTCGGAGCAAAGTAAAACACAAAAAGATTGAATATGATCTGAATATGATCTGAATGGTGATAGATTGGAGAAAAGGGATGATTTGGTGACTATTCAGGCAGCCGCTGAAAGTGGATGTGTAGGTGCAGCAGATGGTGAAGAAGGCAAATGAAGTGTTAGTCTTCACAGCGAGAGTATTCAGGAACACGAGACGTTACGTCTTGCTACAATTGTACAGCGTCTTGTTGAGAGCACACCTAGAGTACAGAGTGCAATTTTGGTCTTCTTAGCTGAGGAAGGATTCACTGGCTATGAAGAGGGTGGAACGAAGATTTACCAGACTGATTTCCGGAATGGAAGGATTGACGCAGAAAGGGCGTCTGGATTTGTGAGGACGATACGCATTGGAGTTTAGAAGAATGAGGGGGAAATCTCATCGAAATATGTAAAATTTTAAGAGGACTAAATAGAGTAAATGTAGGGAGATTGGTCCCGGTGACCTGTAATTACAGAATCGGGACCACAGTCTAAGGATACATGGTAGGCATTTCGGACAGAGAAGAGAAATTTCTTCAACCAGATAGTGGTGTACTTGTGGAACTGTCTCGTATAGAAGCAGTTTGGCCAAAACATTAAATGTTTTCAAGAAGGAGGTTCATGTATTTCTTAGGGCTAAAGTGTTGAAAGGGTATGGAAAAAAAAAACGGACAAAGTGTTGAGGTGGAGATCAGCAATGATTTCATTGAAAGGCGGAGCAGGGTCGAAAGGGAGAACAGCCTTATCCTGCTCAAAAGCTGTATGGTTGTATACTTCTATAGTCGAGAAAAGACCATTAATCTGGTGTTGCCGAAAAAAAAATCTAAGAACTCTTACTGTATGGCAAGAATGAATAAATCAACAAAAACAAATACAGCAACATTGAACTTGTTATTCGATATATTGGATGAAGATTGAACAAAAAATGATTTCATTCATTTATTGTCGTGTGTATCTTGTTACAAAATATAGTGATAGGTGTTGTATAGTATTTTCACTCTTACAATGCAGAAAAATAAATGATAACATAAAATATAAAGGCAGAAAAATGAAGAAATAAGTCTCTAATTTTACAGTGATTTTTGTTAAGTGTTCTGTCATGGTTCATGAACCTGGTGACCAGGAACGAAACCCCTTACTGTCCCACTGCTGGTGAATATTGCCACATGTCGGCGCCTCTGTTGACTCCCTCACTGCTAAGAGTCCTCAAAGCAAATCGCCAAAGCAGACACCTCCGATGCTGTCGGGTATTGCAGTGGCCCAACCACGACTCTGCCAGTGCCATGAATCTGCTTCGGTCCCACCATTGCTTGGTATCTGAATTAAAGGGTGACTCTCTCTTCAGGGCATGCTGCACGATCCACTAAATAATTCCATTAAATTTGGCTCTTGGGTACAGATTCAGCAATTTTTTAAACTAGAAATTAAAGCCTGTCAAACATGGTGAACAAATTTCGCCTGTCAATCTACACAATAAAACACAAAACTAAAAAGACACCTTAGTAAATGGGAAGAACAAGTAATTCAGTGCTAGTGCTGAACGTAAATATTTTGAGCATTATCAAGTTCGTTTTGTGGGAAAATAACGGAAATGAATAATAGAAAATCTATTGGAACTGTCAGTGTGCAGCGAAACAGGTGTCTTCCCCATTAACGATTCAAAATATTCCAGCAATAGCCATAAATCAGGAAATGAACGAGGAGGAGCTTAACTGAATTATAATAATAAGAGAAGTGAAACACAGGAAGTCCTGAACGAGGGATATGACAATATGTAGTCATGAACACAACAGTATAGTAGATCATTAGTTGCTACTTGTAATGAAAGATGATGATCAGTTATTCCTTGCATCGAATGGTGGCTGATCAGTTGCTAAATGCATTGGCATTTATGTTTCGTCATTGAGTAGATTAAGAAAAAGATTCAAACCCTTGGTAATAAGTGAGCATAACACACCATTCCAAGTATAACTCTGTGGAGTTTGTACCAATCTACACTCAATTACACTGAATGGATGGCGCAGTTCAGTCTCCATCAGAAATCCCTATTATCACACTTTATATCAATAACCCACAAAAGAAACTGCATACAGCAATTGTACTGATGTGTTGTGTCCAGAACTTGCCATTTCCTGAGATAATCAGTTACATTACAACCACAATGCTGGTATCTGCTTTACAATCTTGAATTGCTTCACCATGTCCTGTTCAGAGAAAACAAAACACAAACCAGGGCAAATCCAAACCAGCCAAATTCTGTTCTGTAATTCGACCCATGATCATCAGTAAAGCCACAGTAAGTGTAATCAACTGTGCAATCAAGTGACAGTTCTTGGTAACAGACCAATCACTGGTGCTCAGTTATATTCACTATCATTTGAGAGACAAAATTCCATCTCATCAATGTCTCAAATGGACAGCCCCATACTCTGATACTATGCTCTCCTGTCGCAGAATTTCCCAGAAGGGATAACAATCTTTTTTCATTTGAACTCTCAAGTTCCCTAAAACCCTTGCATGGCTATCCTTCATTCTTCTCAACTCAATGAGTATGGACATAACCTACTCAACCTCTGCTGACAAGTCAGTGCCGCCATACCTGGGATCAGTCTGCTGAATATTCTTTAAAATGTCTCCAGTGCCTGAATATCGTTTCTTCGATAATGGAATCAATACTGTTCAGATTATTCCTGCTGTGCTTTGAAAAGTGCCCTGTACTGTAGCAACAAGACCTGTCTATTTTATATTCATTCTCCTTGAAGTAAATACTAACTTCTCATTTCACTTCATAAATAAATCCCAAAAGCGGATGCTAGCTTTTTGTGATTTGTGCAAGAAGACTCTGAAATCCTTTCTACAGAAATTTTGAAGGAGTTATCAATCTAAATAATATACAATAGTTTAAATCTTCCTGAAAAACATGCGTAACTTCACATTTTCTGGCGTGATATTATTTCTGCTAAGTTTTTGTCCTCTCAGTGAACCTATTAATGTTCATCTCCAGTCTCTTTGAGTAATCTTCACCACTTGTCTTAATTTTATGATATCCGCTAATGTGACTATAATCCATTAAGTTTCCTCATTCAAGCCATCCATAAATTTTGTAATGCAATTTGACCTCAACACGGAACACTCTGACATTCCAATATTTACAAGTTGCCATTCTACATATGCCACCTTTCCACTGCAACACCTGTGAGTAGAAGTGTGGGAGGCAAAAAGATAATATTAGGTGTGATGACGCTGTGCTTTAAGAGGTGCACTTTGTCCTTTTCTTAAATGCAGAGATGTTGATACAGAGGCACTGAACAGTGTGCTTCAAACGAATAAGGTAAAAAGTTTGCGAGCTTTTTTTTTACGTTGGAACAATAGAAGCAGCCTGAGTGGGTGGATTCAAGCTCCCCATAGAACCAGAGTTTTAGTTCAGCTTTCAACAGTTGCTGGGGTATCTAAGCTGGATGTGGAAGTTGTTGTCCCTCTCTCTATTACAGCTAAAAGCTTGTGCTCTCTACCTGCTGCGAGAAGTGCATGTCAGACAATCTATGTTACTGAATTTGCCTTTGCCAAGGTTGTGTTTATGGGATGTTACTATATTGGAACAGTTGCTGTTTACTGGTTAAATAATCTACTATTCTGTTAAGTTTTCCAATAGAGATAAATTATTCCAGTTTTTATTTTGTTTTTTGCATTTTAACTGTAGTGTATGAATAAAGTGTGTTTTGCTTCAAGTCAGGTATTTGGACAAATTGAATTGTATCCCAAATGCAATGCCTGGCACTTGCCTTTAAATAAAAAGAAGTTAATGTCGAGGCAATCTCCTTTGTATGTTTTGAGAGGGTTTGTTCTGGTCCATAACAAGCTGGGGACTCGTCCAATGTCAATATTTCAAATTCGACATTGGGTTTTGGATTATTTGACTCAAAGGCAGTCAGTGGTAAGTGTTAGTGTTTGTTTTTATTCAATTGGTTTAAACAGGGTGTGTTGAAAACAAAACAGCTTGAATTAGAGGCAATGGCAAGGTTAAAGCAAAGTAAACAGTTTGAGTTGCAATTAAAAGCGGGGGAAAACAAGGAATGAATATCTCTGGAAGAACAAACAAAAAGGAAACTGTGGCCCGAGCAGAAGAAAGGGAAGAAAAAAAAAGTTGAAAGAGAGAAAGAGACAGTTTTGAACTTCAGAGGTTGGAACTGAAAACTGAACGTCGGCTAAAAATGGCGGAGGTAAAGAGGAAAGGTAGAAGTAGTGATGAGGACTGTGTTGGAGAGCAATCACATTGTAGCCAAAGGCCTGTTGGATATCTGTTTGAATATATCCAAGTATTGCCTAAGTTTGACGTGAATGAAGTGAAAGCCTTTTCTATTTCATTTGAGAAAGTGGCTGAACAACTGAAATGGCTTGTGGGCATTTGGGTATTGTTGATCTAAATGAAATTCATAGGTAGAGATAGTGAGGTATTTGCATCGCTTCCAGATGAGGTATTTGGGGAGTATAATGAGGTTAAAAAAATCATTTTAATTACATATCAGCTGCTACCAGAAGCCTATAGATTAGGTTTTAGGATATAAGGAAGGTACCTCACCAAATGCACATTGAATTGAAAGGATCAAATAAAGTGATTTTGCTCGGAGGATAAGGAAATTGAAATTTGATCATATATATGACACTCTTAGACACGATTATTTTCGAGGAGGTCAAAAATTTACTTCTTGAATTAGTAAGAACTCATGTGGAAGAGCAGAGAGTTAAGTCTGCATGATTAGCAATGGAAATTGCAGAAGATTATCAGTTGGTTGATAAATCAAAGTTTGGCTTCTCAGCACAATTTCAGTCTTTGAGGGATATAAATTGAGGAAGAGAGAAATCCTCCGGTTGTGAAGGAAAAGGAGATCTCATTGACGATAGTAAAGGTAGCTTACCACAATGTGAAAAGGAAACCCATGAGGTAGAAAGCAAAGTAAAAAAGCTGAAGTGTTTCACTGTAATGAAGTAGGCCAAATGGAGTTGCAGTGTTGGTTGTTTAGAAAAAGAGTAGGAAGACTGATGTGGGAAAACAGGATAAATCAGTGATATAACAAGGTGCAGAGCTGGATGAACACAGCAGGCCAAGTAGTATCAGAGGAGCAGGAAAGCTGACGTTTCAGGTCTGGACCCTTCCTCAGAATTGGGGGAGGGGAAGGGGATTCTGAAATAAATAGGGAGAGCGGGGAGGCAGATAGAAGATGGATAAAGGAGAGGATAGATGGAGAGGAGACAGACAGGTCAAATAGGCGGGGTTGGAGCCAGTAAAGGTGAGTGTAGGTGGGGAGTGAGGGAGGGGATAGGCCCGTCCAGGGAGGACGGACAGGTCAAGGAGGCGGGATGAGGCTTGTACGTAGGAGATGGGGGTGGGGCTTGGGGTGGGAGGAGGGGCTAGGTGGGAGGAAGAGATAACGAGGTGTTGAGCTGGATGAACACAGCAGGCCAAGCAGCATCAGAGGAGCAGGAAAGCTGACGTTTCGGGCCTAGACCCTTCTTCAGAAATGCGGGAGGGGAAGGGGGTTCTGAAATAAATAGGGAGAGAGGGGGAGGCTGATAGAAGATGGATAGAGGAGCAGATAGGTGGAGAGGAGACAGACAGGTCAAAGAGGCGGGGTTGGAGCCAGTAAAGGTGAGTGTAGGTGGGGAGTTAGAGAGGGGATCGGTCAGTCCAGGGAGGACGGACAGGGCAAGGGAGCAGGATGAGGTTTGTAGGTAGGAGATGGGGGTGGAGTTTGAGGTGGGAGGAAGGACAGGTTAGGGAGGCGGGGACGAGCTTTGCTGGTTTTGGGATGCTGTAGGGGGAGGGGAGATTTTGAAGCTTGTGAGTTTTGTTGAAGGGGTAAAGAAAAACAGTGAAAAATAAACAAATAAGCTGCAAAAGAATATACAACTGATCAGGTTTTGGTTGAGAAGAACATGCTAGATCTCTTTAAAGAATTTACTTGCATGAGTAAAATTTGCTCATGTGTGCTAGAAGGATTAGGTAAAGAAATTAAGATTTTATGAGATACGGGAAAAGTCAATCATTGATGATGAGATGCGAGTAGATATGTAATTCAGAAGGAGTATTGTCAGAAAAATTGGTAATACTCTCACAATCTAAAGATGTGCAGGTTAAATGGATTGGTTATTCAAAATTGCCCACGGTGTCCAGGGATGTACAGGCTGGGTGGATTAGCCGTGGAAAATGCAGATTTACGGGTATAAGGTCAGTAAGGTGATTTTGGGTGGGATGCTGTTCTCAGGGTTGCTGCAGACTCAGTGGGCAGAATGGCCTGCTTCAACACTGTAATGATTTTATGATTCCATGTAGAAATAATGGCGCAGAGAGAAGTGTTCCATTATATAAAGTGAGGTTGGATAGTCGGGTGAAAAGTGTTGAAGTAGGAGGAATAGAGAAACTTTTAGTTCCAGAGATACAGTTTGACCTTGGTAATGACGTAATGGATCACAAGTTGGAGTGATGCCTACTGTGATTGAAAAGCAGTGGAAAATCAGGCAAATGAGGTGTTACAAGAAACATACCATATCATTTTTTCCTGACCATGTGATGATAAAGTCACAAAATCCCATGTTGAAACAGAAGGAGAAATCAAGCATTAAAGGTCAGGAAGTTGAAGTTCAATTATCAGAAACTATTTTGTGATCAAATGTTTGAGAAGAAGAAACAAACAAGAACAGGTAGAACACACAGTATACACTTTTCGTTCAGAGAGGTTTGTTGAATTATCAGTAAAGGATGACAAAATACAGCAGTGGTATCACAAAGCAAACATGGAAGCAGAATCTGAGTGTATCCCAGAATGTATCCCATACCTTTAAAATGAAGTCTTAATGACGGAATGGAGACCATCACATATTCAAGCGGATGAGAAATGGGTAGAAAGTCATCAGATTGTTTTACTGGTGCGTTATAGGAAGGGCATATTGCGGATTGTACATGAATTGCCAGTAGGAGGTCATTGGGAATAAGGAAACTCAAGCCAAATTACAAAAATCATATTTATTGACCTGGATTACGATCTGGTTGACTTTTGCCAGAAATGTCATCTGTGTCAGGGAACTGGAAGCCTCAGGCAATGACAAAACCACATACTTAATACCGATTCCCAAATTTGAGGAACCTTTTACAAGATTCTTAATTGATTGTGTGGGACCCCTGTAATCACCATTATATCACGATCAGCATGCCTAACTAGTAAAGTTACAATCATGTGGATATGAAATGCTACTTTGCTACAATTCCGAACTTATTGAACAGAGGTACTTTTCCATTCTAATGATCCAATGTACTATGGCTATTCGACTTGTTTTGCTGTGGTTGTTTTGTAATCTTTGTACTGCATCCTACCCTGCTACAATGATTACTCTGGTCCATTCAATTAATATTGGGTGCATCAGAAATCCACTTCTCTCCATTCCAGATGTCCTGTTCCTTTCAAATCTTCAGCAAAAGTTTAGCTCTGCTTTTGCTATACTGAACAAACTTTCAAAATGGAGGCTAAAATTCCTGCATAGGCTAGATGCTCACACCAAGTTTCAAAAATAATATGAAAAATTACGAAAAATTAAATTGCTAAGATTTCTGAATACCAGTTTAACAATGAATTTGGTTGATAGCCTTCGTGACCAACCAGTAGCACCGGGTTAACATGAGGAGGAATAATCTTGATTAATACAAAACAAAGATAGATTTTGAATGTGGTTTCACCTCCAATGCTTTCGATATTTCCTCTGACGTTGACCATCCAAATAAAACAATTCTACAAATTTTAAAAGAAAGTTTATGTAGTTTAGTGGTGATAAACATTCTAGAACTGTTTCAAAAATATTTATCTGTTTCATGTAAAATGGATTTCAAACTTTTGAGGTTTACAAAAAAAAAGGAACATGCAGGAGTACTTTTTTTTAGAAAACTAACTTTCACAGCATTCTGAATTTTGATAGTGGACAAGTAAGCTGATTGATTTCCTCTTTCTGCAGCTAATTTATTGACGATCTTCATACTCTCTCGTGGAAAGTGTGGCCTCTCCTCCTGCATCATTCGATATCTAAAGTCCATGGCAATAGCAGATCTACTGGTCCTGTTATTCAATATAATCCTGTATGAACTCAATGAAACATATTTCCCAAATTCGTTTCTAAACTTCACGACAATTTGCAGCCTGAAGCACATTCTTGGTTTTGCAGCAATTGATTGTTCTGTCTGGTTAACTGTTTCTTTCACTTGTGATCGATTTATAGCCATTTGCTGCCAGAGGTTAAGAGTTAAATATTGCACTGAAACAATGGCTTCCATCATTGTAGCAATTGTGTGCATGTTGAGTATTTTAGAAAATATTCCGGTATTCTTTGTATTTGAACCTGGGAAAATAGTTAATGGTGTATGGTGGTACTGTACATTGAAATCAAGTTTCTATACTTTACATGCATGGGTGACATATTCCTGGATGGACAGTATTTTAACCCCATTCATACCCTTTTTTTTGATACTTATCTTTAATGCTTTGACAATTAGGCATATATTAATGGCCAAAAAAATTCGAAAGGGCCTGCGAGGGAAAAAGCATGATGAACACCAAAATGATTCAGAGGATCAGAACCGAAGAAAATCAATCATTTTGCTTGTTACTATATCAGCAAGCTTCGTACTGCTTTGGATAATAGCCACTATTCATTATATATGCGTAAAATTCACCGATGCTCAACATTTTTACAAAGACTACAGTCACTCTCTTGTCGTGATGCAACAGATTGGATATATGCTGCAGCTTCTCAGCCCATGCACAAATACATTTATTTATGCAGTTGCACAAACAAAATTCAGAACAGAGTTAATATTTCTATTCAAATATGCTTTGTTCTTAATTCCAATATTTATTAAATACGTACAATCATAAAACTGTCTCGTGCATGAGGTTTCAATTTATTTCTTACAACTTAATTAGTGGAAAGTAAAAGGAGAATTGCAGGTTCAATGAGAAGCATGGAAGAACATAACAGCAACAGTCCCATATTTTTCTACAAATGACATGCCAAGATGCAAATGTGGCAGCACAAGCCAACGTGGCTTGTAAAAAGCGAGAAAAAAATGTGATGCTGTTCGCTAAATGATGTCAGAATCAATATGCATGATTAAAGGTATGAATTTATGCCACATTTAGTCATAAACCATGGTAGGCCTTTGTGCCATTAATCAGAGGAATATCTGCAAAATCATTCCCATAGTGAATTTACTAGTAGACCCTTAGTCATAGAGAAAGCTACACAATTGAATTTCTTCAGCAGTGTTCAGTTTCAACTTGGGCACGAAAGCCCTGACATCAGCAAAAAGGAAACATAAATGCCCAAAGATGGAGAAAGGAGCTGATTAACAGGGAAGCGGTGAGAATAATCTTTATGAGGGCAAGTTTGGACAAAAGCAGTTTTGCTTTTCATTAGTTCTTGATTTTAAGTGTACTTGCCAGTAGCCTGTCAACAGTTCAATCTCAGGACAGGATGAGGAACTAATGTAGTCTTCTAACAGTGGGAATTGTGCAAGTGTGTTTTTCTTTTAAATCGTATTTATCTTTCTTTAATCTATGAAGAGTCTGGTTGATGCACAGCATTCTGAAAAAAAGAAACGAACAGGGGAATTAGATTTGCTTTGACTAGGTTGAATCAAGTAGCTTTCAGCAAGCACAGAATTTGTCATTCCAATTGAGCTTGTTTTCTGCACTCAACAGAAAAGTTTTTTTTAATGGTCCTGATGTTCCTACATTCACATCATACCGAGCTAATATAAAAACTCAAGGTGTACCTTTACAGATTAATTTTTACTGTCTTGATAATGTAAAAAGATCATTCCTCTGTACTTCCTCTGAACATGAAAATGTTGTCTATTGGTGCATGTATTTATATGATAGCCAGTGAAAGGTCAATTTGAGAATTATTTATTCTATCTCACTTTATTGTTTTTGTCATTTTCCACTATTGGTACTATTCGATGCAGATGCTCCTCATTATCTTTTTCATGACAATGACACCTCCAGAAGCCCACTCTTCAGATTTTTGAGAAACTGTCTTGTTTGTCTGAGGTGCTAGTTTGGTTGACTGTTGAGGTTTTCCTACCAAATGACATATATGAGAGTTTTATCAGATGCGATGAGTCCTTTATAAATTCTTGGACAATTAACATGCTTGTTTCTTGATGCTAGTGCTTTCCACATCCTTTATCACTTGCCAAAGGACGTTCCTATGATACTCACAGTGTCTTTTAATGAAGTAGAGGCTGTTCCAGTATATGATCAACAACTGTCCAGACATCATTAGTTGTCCAAACAGATATCTGCACTTCATTGGCAGAACTCAACTTTTAAGGTAATAGCAGTTTTAATCACCTTCTGTCGCAGTTTTGAGTGAGCTGTATGCGCTATATTGCTTATCCTTGTATTTGCTGTCTGTGCTTCAATTATCATTGATATGCGCAACACATCTTTGGAATTATCTGAAATCTAAAAAAAGAGTTTAAATACCTCAACACCTATTGGTGATGGACTCTGTTGTCCCATTGCTCTCGCCTCCACACAAGTAGGTAAAAAGATGACAAAACTATTCCTGCAGATAGCAAGAACTGCAGATGCTGGAGTCAGAGACAACAAAATGTGTAGCTGGAGGAACACAGTAGGCCAGGAAGCATCAGAGGAACAGGAAAGCTGACGTTTTGGTTCGGGACCCTTCTTCAGAAAGAGGAAAGGTCCAGACCCGAAACGTCAGCTTTCCTCTTCCTCTGATGCTGCCTGGCCTACTGTGTTCCTCCAGCTGCACACTTTGTTAAAACTATCCCTACAATTGTTCTGTCTCTGTCACCTCATGTAGACTTTTCATTATTGTAACAGAAGCTACATTTTTATGCCTGCCATATTCCCCAGGTGAAAACCAATTCTGTCTAGAGCGATTTTTAAACTATCATGACTACCACTAATCCTGATTTTAAAAAAAAGTCACATTCCAGCTGGACTTCAGAAATTAGAACCCAATGTACGATTTGCCAACATTTTAGCTGTCGTTGAACTCACTCAAGGGCAAATTAAATCCTCATCAACAAGAGAGTTGTTTAGATTCTTTATCCCTGAGTATTGTAAGGTGATGGATTCCCATTTGAAGTATAAATGATTATCTTTCCTTCAAACAAAAACTGTTCTAATCCCTCATCCACCATATATAATTCTGCACTCACATGTGGGTTCTCTTAATTTTAATTAAAGCTCTAATTTAGTATGTGGACATTTTTTTCTTTTTTCAATTTCCTTTTTGAAATCATTCATCAGAGCTTTAATAATTTGTATGGGTTTCCATTGGAAGTCTCAGCATTCTGAAGGATTGCTTCTTAACTTGTTAAAATGGAAGCATCCAGGCTCTTTTCTTTACCTCCATTCTCAGAATTTAAATTTCTATTCTGAAGAAGATGCTTTGTTGCATTTCCAACTATACATATTAGCTTAGTTAGTTGTCTCCTTTCCACTCTTGCATTTTCTTTGACTTTCAAACTTAGGAGGTGACTGAAAAAGAAGGTTTTCATTCATGAATTTGCTCACAGTGGCAGATTTGCACTGTCTGTCCAATAGTTGCAATTGTTTGCTCCTCAGTGTAAGTTCTGACCACAAAATGTAGTGGGGTTTTTCTTTCAGTGTAACTAAGGAAGTAATGCTTCATAGACGCATCACGTTTGCCTTAAACCCATGTTGTCTCCCTACTTTCTTTACATCACAATTCTAACTCAAGTTTACTAATCCAATTTTTCTCATGTGGAGGATGAAGAAGTGGTTTTCAAACGGGTTCACTCGTTTTTAGTGCAGGAGATGGTTCATTCTTTCCCAAAGATCCGAGACTTTTGACCTCACATTCATTCCCGCACAATGCTTTGCGTCTGTGATCCAATTGCATTCTGATTCCAGGCGAAAGACCTTTATCACTGCATATTGGTCACCTGCCCTCTAAACAATCAGCTGCTCGTTGCTAGCTGAATTTGCATTTGTACACATCCCTTGACTGCATTAATCTGCAAATGACTTTCCACACGATTTGAATAAACAGAAACAAAATCAACACTTAAAATGAGTGTCAGTTAAGTTGCTTTTGTTAAAGAAAACATACCAATACTTTCAATAATCCTTGCTTTTTGAAACAGTCACTTTCATAATTCTAGCAATAGCCAAAAAGACAGGAGTGAAAAGTTTCTCGTCATTTCAGCCGTTTATCATCCACAATTTCCTGCTTGATGAACTATAGGTAGGAGGCATTTCGCTTACTTTTTCACGTGAAAGGAGATCGTATGTTGCAGCTCTGGTAATGCTTCCAATATACGCACAGTCTAAATATATGCCTTAAGTAAAAGATGCAAAAATTAGTAGCAGTATCAACAACTGATAGAGTGTACAATAAGTCTGCTTTAAAAGTGTGGAATTTCTAAAGTGGGGATAGCATGTTATGACCATGAGGTAAACAAATAAAGAGACATTCAACAGAACAAGAACAAATCCGACTGGAATGATACGTAATATTTGAATTGTCACAAAACGCACATGCGTAAAAGGGCAGATCAATTCAACTTAATTGGTCCTAAGATCTCAGTAAATCTTTATATAATGTTGGAAACTAAAGAGCCCAGTCATTTTGCAAGACATTGCTAAATAATACTGTTGCTATTGTTGTTTTGATATTGTTGTATCCAATTAAGAGAATGGAACCAGTAAAAGTAGTGAGAATAATAACGGGGAAACAATGTAAATGGCGCTAATACAAAATATCCAAACAATCAGTGGGGAATGAAAAGGTGCAGCAGAGAAAAAAGAACATCTGCCAAGCTGGTAAATAATTTAAAAATACCGCATGTATTAAGTGATTGGTTGCTCTATAAACGGCCCATAGTTGAGCCATTTGATATCGCCCAGATCTCATTTTGCTTAAATTGTGTTACCATAAAGTTCACGGAGTCACAGGGTTTCAGTTCTGCGCTCTCACTCTTTGAATAAATTGAAACACTTAAACGTATACGCATACTTATTTACTTCACCATCCAATAACGAATGAAAACTGAAGAAATTTTAGAACTTGTGATAAATTGCAAAAGAACTTCACGTTATGAATGAAATAATCAAATTTGAATGTTAGAGTATTTTTTTGGAATGATTCCAATTTTTCATCCAACCAGTTGTTATGTGTTGTTTTTTTTCCTGAAGTAATGTATTTAGGGAATTTGTCCAAAAAACTTACTTGCATTAATTCTGCCTCTCTTTAAGAGAAGCAACATGTTGCTCACTAAATTGTGAAGATTCGACTTTTTTTGAAAGGAATTGTTATCGTTGAATACAAGTGCAATGAGGTTGGAAGCCCAACTGGAAAGGAGCGCTATTTATTTTTGAATACTCAAATACAGCAACTATTTGCAGCATACATACACGAGCCCCAATTCGGGGCAGACAGTTATATCGTCATAATATGCATAAATGTTAAACGATTCATAAAAGTTACTACAAACCTCTGGGATTTGAACTCTGGCCTTGCCGTCTACGGGTAATGATACCACCATTCCGCCACAAGAGAGCCATGTGGGTTTGCTGTATATTTTTTTATTAATGTATTTTTCTAATCCTTTTCATAAACGTTATTGCACACCTCGAAAGCAAATGGTATTTGAAAGCTGCTCGTTTGGTGCTGAGGTAGGGACACTATCACTGAGCCACGGGTCTGTTTCTTGTTTAACTTTACCTTTTTATATGTGGTAAACATTTATTTTCTTCATAGTCCAGAATCCGACATTCGCGCATCAGAAACTAGAATGGAGAGATAGCATGCCTGTTTACCCAAATTCTTTTCCTTGAATAAGTCAAGTTAAACTATATAAAACGCCTGTTTGCAA